AAAAAAAAGAAGAGAGAAAAAAAGAGAGAGAAAGAAAAAAAGAGAGAGAAGAGAAAAAGAAAGAGAAAAAAGAAAGAGAGAAAGAGAGGAAAAAAAAAAGAAAGAGAAAAAAAGAAGAGAAGAGAGAAAAAAAAAAAAAAAGAGAGAGAAGAAAGAAAAAAAGAAAAGAGAAAAACAGAAAAGAAAAAGAGAGAAAAGAAAAAAGAAAAGAGAAGAGAAACGGAAAAAAAAAAGAGAGAAAAAAAAAGAAAAAAAGAGAAAAAAAAAGAAAAGAGAGAGAGAAAAAGAAGAAAGAGAGAGAGAAAAAAAAAAAAAAAAAAAGAGAGAAAGAAAGAGACAAAAGAGAGAAAAGAGAAGAAAAAAAAAAAAAAAAGAGAGAGAAGAGAAAAAAAAAAAAAAAAAAAAAGAGAGAGAGAAAAGACAAAAAGAAGAGAGAGAAGAACAAAGAAGAAGAGAGAGAGAGAACACAAAAAGAGAAAGAGAGAAAAAAACCAGAAAGAGGAAGAAAAGAGACAAAAGAGAGAGAAAAGAGAGAAAAAACACACAAAGAGAGAAAAAGAGAGAAAAGAAAGAGAGAGAGAGAGAGAGAAAAGAAAAAAAAACAAGAGAGAGAGAGAGAGAGAGAAAAACAAGAGAGAGAGAGAGAGAGAGAGAAAGACAAAGAAGAGAGAGAGAGAGAGAGAGAAGAGAGAAAAAGAGAGAGAAAGAGAGAGAGGAGAGACAAGAGAAAGAAGAGAGAGAGGAACAGAGAGAGAGAGAGAGAAAGAGAGAAAAAAAAAGAGAGAGAGAGAGAGAGAGAGAGACACAGAAAAGAAAGAGAGAGAGAGAGACAAGAGAGAGAGAGAGAGAGAGAGGAACAGAGAAGAGAGAGAGAAGAGAAAGAAAAAGAAAAAAAGAAAGAGAGAGAAAAAAAAAAAGAGAAGAAAAAAAGAGAGAGAGAAAGAGAAAAGAAGAGAGAAAAGAGAGAGAGAGAGAGAGAGAGAGAAACACAGAGAGAAAGAGAAAGAGAAAAGAGAAAAAAGAGAGAGAGAGAGAAAGAGAAGAGAGAAAAAAAAAAAAAAAGAAGAGAGAGAGAGAAAAAGAGAGAGAGAGAAGAGAAAAAGAGAAACAGAGAAGAGAAAGAGAGAGAGAGAAACAAAGAGAGAGAGAGAGAGAGACACAGAGAGAGAGAGAGACACAGAGAGAGAGAGAGACAAGAGAGAGAGAGAGACACAGAGAGAGAGAGAGAGAAAGAGAGAAAAGAGAGAGACAAGAAGAGAGAGAGAGAAAACAAGAGAGAGAGAGACACAGAGAGAGAGAGACACAGAGAGAGAGAGACACAGAGAGAGAGAGACACAGAGAGAGAGAGAACACAGAGAGAGAGAGACACAGAGAGAGAGAAGACACAGAGAGAGAGAGACACAGAGAGAGAGAGAAGAACAGAGAGAGAGAGACAAGAGAGAGAGAGAACAGAGAGAGAAGAGACACGAGAGAGAGAGAGACACAGAGAGAGAGAGACACAGAGAGAGAGAGACAGAGAGAGAGAAACAGAGAGAGAGAGACAGAAGAGAGAGACAGAGAGAGAGAGACAGAGACAGAGAGAGAGAGACACACACGTTTTTAGATGCTATAACTTTCACACAAGCCAATTAATATACAGGTGTACATCGGTTTACAAAACGCCTTTTTTTCAGAATTTGAAGTGTGTGTGTCGGTGTCGATTTTTAAATGCAATTGCCGGCTTTGCTTCAACCCCGACCAGTCTCCCAGTCCCTGCTGTGGAAAAACACCCCCATAACATGCTGCTGTCGCCACCATGCTTCATTGTTGGGATAGTATTGGGCAGGTGGTGAGCAATGTCTGGTTTCCTCCAGACATAACATTTAGAACGGAGGCTAAACAATTCAAATCTTGGTTTCACCAGTCCAGAGAATCTTGTTCCTCAAAGTCTCAGAGTCCTTCAAGGTGCTTTTTTGCAAACTCCAAGCGTGCCTTAATGTGTTCTTCACGGAGGAGAGGCCTCCATCTAGCTACTCCATAAAGCCCACATTGGGGGGGAGGGCTGTCCTTCTGGAATTTTGTCCCATGTCCACACAGGATCTCTGGAGCTCAGTCAGAGTGACCATCAGGTTCTTTGTCACCACTTACTCAGGCCCTTCTCCATCAATTGCTTAGTTTGGCTTGGTGACCAGCTCTTGGAAGAATCCTGGTCGTGCCAAAACCTCTTCCATTTGAGAATTATGGAGGCCACTGTGCTTTTGGGAACCTTTAGTGCAGCAGAATTTTTGTAGCTTTTCTCAGATCTGTGCTTTGCAACAATCCTGTCTGAGCTCTACAGACAGTTCCTTTGACCTCATGGCTTTTGCTCTGATACAGTATGCATGGTCAGCTTTGAGGTAAGGTATTTTAGGCACCATTCACACAAATTATTTTTTAGTGCTTTTTGCAGAAATGCACCCCAGTCCATTTGACAGTTTCCTATGAGACATGCTCACATCTATGCTTTTTTGAGCTGCTGCGTTTTTGGAAAGGGTCAGGGACTTTTTTAAAAGCAAAAAGTAGTGTTTGGACAATAGAAGATTGGAAAAAAATGTTGCCTGGTCTGAGTCTCGATTTCAGCTGTGACATTCAGATGGAAGGGTCACAATCTGGCATAAACAGCATGAATTCATCCTGCCTTGTTTCAACAGTTCAGGCTGGTGGTGTGACAGGCGTGTGGGTCAGTGGCCCCCAGCGTAGATGGTAGTTGCTCACCAGAACTCCTATCAAATAAGGACAAGCGGCTGTGTCTGTGCAGCCACTGTATCCCCAAAAAACTAACAATGGCTGGAGGCTCAAGCTGCATACATTAGACCATACAGCCCATGTGAATGAGGATTAAGGGAAAATCTACCAAGCTGAGGCAATGGCTGCACTTGGTCCACATCAGGAATATACAACTCCTATTCTCAGTGATATGGTTACCTTGGAGTACATTTTTTAAATATTTGTGTCCAAAACACATTTCATTGTGAAAAAAAAATATATATATATTTTTCTTCTTCTAATCCATCTGATTAAACATTTTTAGATTAGATTTGCTGTCATAGCACCCACCCCCCTTGCTTATCTATTACTGAACAGGACACCACCTAGTGTATGGAGTCATCACCAACTTCAGATGGCATATGCCACATTCAGATACCATGACCAGAGATAACCTGGATTTTGGACAGGACTGCAACTGATGTGCAATCAAAAATGAATCCCACTGCATCTGGTGTGGGCTCTTAAAGAGAAAGGCAGGAAAAATATTGATAGTTCTGGTGCCTTAGATAAAAGGTCTACAGATCAATTGTAAAGCTTTATTTTTGGAGTTAGGTTTGGGTTCAAAAGAGGTCATTTAAAAAAAAAAGTGTAAGTTTTTTTTTTTTTTAAACCTCAATTTATGCACTTTCAGCAACGGATGTAATCACTTAACCGAGTATGCAGTTTCTTTATCTACCGATTCCTACCCACGTTCCATTTTGCATTGGTGTCGCAACTGCTGCTTCAGGTTTCCAGGTAGCTCCTTTCTCCTGCAGCATTCTATGGAATCACCCTTGCGTGCAGACACTAAAATGTTGTTTCCCTGCACTGTGTGTGCATCAATCGAAATGTACAGCCCCATAGCCTAGGACAGCAAGGCACTCCCCCTGCTCCTCCCCATCCCTTCTACAAAAGGGACAGGCAGACTGCAGACCACACTGCCCTCTTATCCTTTTCCTATGTAGCCTAGAACAGGGAAACAGCTCTGAGAGCAAAAAACAGCAGCATTGACAGTTGTAAACCAAGTGCTGGGGTAAGAAGTTTAAACAAATTGTTTACTGGGAAAATGTAATTTTATTGAACTCAATGTGTTAACTTAGTATTAATTAATTTAGGAATATCAAACCCTCATTATTTTGTTATTTTTCTGTCCATTTAGTTTAGGGGTTACATTTAAGTCTTATGGGTAGTTTAAGGATTAGTAGGAGGGATTGACAATAAGTGATAGAACAGGTAAACCTTGGGAGAATATGGGTGTTTATACCGGAAATGTATACTTTTTCAGTGCTGATATGTTAAAGTGTTACTAAACCCAGGACCCTGCAATCACTATATCTGGTCTCCCATAGAACGTGGAAGTGCAATTATTAAAGTAAATATGAACTGCTAAATACCTTTGCTCTTCAGCAGTATATAGCAGCCTTGTGACTTATATCAGTGTCCAGCAGAGTACTGGCTAAAGCTTGGAGGAGTTTTCATTCTCCTCTCACTGTCCTATGAGATTGCAGGACCCCTGACCCTCTGTCTTGACAGTGTTGACTGATCCTGTGCTTATCACATGCACACTCCCAAGAGAAAAAAAAAAAACCCAAAAAACCACCACCTCTAGCAATACACACCAAACTGAGCCTATACAGCTTGCCATCAAGGCTCTGTTCTATCAGCAGATGAGTCGTGGACTGTGGAAGAAGAGGAGGATCAGAGAAGACAGCATTAAACATCCTTTTCACACAATGCAGAGGATTGCTGCACACAGGTTTTTTTTTTACCTCCATGCATAGAATGCATGAAGGTAAAAACCTTACACCTTTAGAAGCACTTTAAGTTTCAGTGAGTATAAAAAGCACACACTTTACCGCATATACAGATTCCTTTTACTGTTCATATACAGATTGATTTTACTGTTGTGGGTTTAGTAACACTTTAACCTTAGTTGTCTTGTGACTTTCTATATTCATGCATCCAATTGCGATTCAGAATTTAAACCTGAGAAGCAGATGTAGCCTCTGAATCGGTTCGATGTTCCAGTAGGTGCATGACAAAACCAATGTGTGTGACACTGATTTAAATTAAGCCCTGAGACAGGACACTGCACCAAGCTTGGATGCTCAACACTGCTTGGTTTTTCTAAACAAAATCTTAAGACAGGAGAATAGCAGAGACTCTGGAGGAAAAATAAAGCAACTGGTCTATTCAGCTGAAATGGTATTAAGACAACATAGCATGCAGCTCACCCAACGTTCATTTTGTGTGTTCGGAATCCCAGGTAAGGATCAAGCACCAAGCTGGTTGCCAGGTCATCATTTTCACAGAGTTCTCTTGCGGTCACTCGGTTGGAACCCATAGTATTGTCGGATTGTGTATCATGCTGTTATTACCTATCCAAAAAAAAGAAAAAAAAATGCAGTCAATCACTCTCGCAGGAGGGGAGGGGTGAACAATCTCTGTAATAAAACACATTCCCTGGGATTCATAGATAATATAGTAGACTGTCCTCAGAGTAGCTCAGGAACGCCAAGCTGCCTGCCTGGACACTGCGTCTGTTACACAAACAGGTGCTGCACACAAGGAGTTTTGCTATTATGTGGCCAGAGGGTAATGGGAAACTATCCCAGCAATCACTTTCACAATATGGTTTGTTTGAGAAGTGGAAACAGCTTGTATAGATTTTGTTTTGCAGTTACTTCTCCTTTAAAACTCTGGGGTTTCAATTAAATCCAACACCCACTGCATCTCATTAGAAACATCTCATTAAAAATAGCTCAGTGGGCTACATGATCACGATTACACCTGCTGCTGTGTTAAAATCCTCTAGGAATCCAAACACACTGCTACACGTGAGAAACAGAAAAGTTTCATATGTGTAATTAGACCTCATATCATCTTTCATAGCAATTTGTGGAACACCATACTCGTGTTCTGTGCACAGAAAGGCACACAACAGCCTATTATGCCTGCTCTGAAAGATAAAAAACATGAAAATGTTACATTATTCAAAGCAATTGTATTTTATATCAGTTTAGGCTGTGTCATTTGTTTGTACTCCCATGTACAGTACATGCATTGCCCGTTTAGTGTTGATTCACCTATGTGATGGATGGACACAGGTCCAGTTTTTTTTCAATCATATGCAGGGGAAATAATGGGAAAGCTTCCTCTGCTCAGTGTCACGCATCAGGATGAATCCGGTGCAAAGTGCATGTCAGTGCTGGGTCACTGGGCACAATCTGCGCAAAGCAGCATCCTGCATCTGCTGATGGAAGGCAGATCTATAGACTCACAGCGGCATCTCCGTGTCCAGGCCTGAAGCAACTGAAGACCTCCCTACTCAAAGCAACTGCCAATTACTAGGTAGTGAAATTAATGCAAAATGTAAAAGCTATTCACACATTTAAAGTGATATTAAAAAGGGCAATTTTTTTCTATTTATTTTGTTATAAAAAAGCGCTCCTGGCCCCTCCCTCCCGCTCAGTGCCCCCAGAGCAAGTAGGATGCTGTGGGGGACCAAAAATCAGGCTTAACTCCAAAGTCACTGATCCGTGTGTCCATTCACACACGCAGAGCCCAGGTAAGTATTAGGAGGGATGCTGCACACAGGTGGTTTTTTTTTTTTTACCTTCATGCATAGAGAAAAAAAAAAAAAATTATATACACACATACATATACATACATACAGCTGCAAAACACACTAGGAGATATATATTATCCATAATAAAGTGGATGAAATAAACTGCTTTTTTTCCCCTAGCAGTGCAACACCGTTTATTTAAAAAAAATAGCTTTGGACTGCAAGAAAAATGCAAACCCTAACAGGTCCAAAAAAGGTCTATATCTATAGCTCTGTATTTATTTATATTATCTTGTTATCTTTAGTAATGACAAGGTTATTGCTGAATACACAGGTTCATAGCAGATATGTGAAAACTGCTCTGGTCCATAGGGGGGTGATCAGGTGTGAGGCTGAATTCACACTTGAACAATTTGTAACCTGAAGCTGCAAAAATGCTCAAACTTAAAAAAAAAAAAAAAAAAAAAAAATCAGTTCTCTATGGTGTCCGTTCCTGCAATCAGGTGTGAACAGGCACCATAGAGAACAATTGATTTTTTTTTTTTTTTTTTTTTTAAGTTTTAGGCATTTTTGGAGCTTTGAACTTCAAGCTACAAAATAGCTCAAGTGTGAATCCAGCTTGAGAGGTGAAGAAGTTGAAAGACTGCTAGCAGCTTGATTAAAGTGACTGCCAGCCCTCATATTAGGATAGGTATTAAAAATTTACAAAATTTAAACTGAAAAAGGTACTTTAAAAATTCTACAAAGCTTGCTGAAAGCTCTGCAAATGTTTTGCAAAAGCCTGCCCTTATACAAACCCATGTGAAACAAGGGAAAGACAGCAGGTGGGTGGATGGGCTTTGCCTGCTTCAGTCTGAGGCCTTCAGTCACTCATGTACCATTAGACAATCAGTGAAGCTTTAAACCCTAGGGCCACAAACTTTGTTTAAAGTGTTATTAAACTCGCAACAGTTTGGGAGGGTGCATGTAATCGGCCCAGGGCCAATCAGCGCTGTCCAAACAGGATCAGGGGTTATGAAGCCTCATAGGACAGTGAGAAGAATGAAAACTCCTCATATAAGATTTAACCAGTTCTCAGATAGGCAATGATAGAAACATCACAAGACTGCTATATACTGCTGATGAGAAAAAATATTTAGCAGCTTATATTTACTAAAATAATTGCATTTCCATGTGTGTACTGTGGGAGACCAGATATAGTGAATGCAGGGTCCTGGGTTTAACATCACTTTTAATTAGTTCCTGTGGGCAGGGGTTTCAACCCTCAGAGCCACGCTAATAAGTTGGCTGAAACCCACTTGGCATAGACAGACACCTTCTCTAAGATACTCAACATACTACCAGCACTGGATACAAGACTAAAGAAAATTTGGAGGTTAGGATGTAAATAAAAAGGGAATTTATATTTTCCCCACTTTGTAGCACCAGCAATCTGATTTTGCATTTTCGTCAATCTCTGATCCAAATAACTGGACATATTACATTTTATTGTTCCTCCAAAAGGATTTTGTAATGCAAAAGCTTTTGTACTTATTACATTGATGTTGTAACTGCTTCGCAGTCAGCAGTGGAAATCATTGATTTGGGCAACCTCTGTTTAACGTCATATTGTCAAAAGCTCTGGACACTGGCACAGCACTACATTTATTCAAAGTGACCCCAAAAGTCCAAATTACATAATCACATTGTAACACACTGGAAACCAACACACATGGCAACATATTACTTCAAGGGTGGGTGTGAGTGCCAGACATCTCTATCTACGAGCAAGTAGGTACTTACAGGGTGCCTAAACATATCTGCCGCCAGTAATTGACGTCCACCCCACCCCATTTTGGATAGTGTAAAAGGAATTTTCCTGTCATCTGTGTCCCATTAAGGTGATTTCATTCTCTGCCGGTCACATAACCAAAACAGGAAGTGAAAGGAAATCCCGATGCGTCACCAGAACAAGAGTCCCCATTGGAAGATTTCCCCTCTATTAATGTCTTGATGTCACCCTAAAATTTGGCGGTCTCTTTCGCATTGATAATGGTAAACGGGGAAAATAGAGATAGAAGAAAACCTAAGCTCTCCATTAGGAAAATTCACTATTTTTATCTGGTGATCCAGTAAGTCTGAAGAGAAAGAACAAGCTCTCCAGCAGATGCATCACTCACAGGGTTGGTGTAAACCATTTAATACTGGCAGGGGTGCTTGCAATGATCAGCTTTTATGTGCGCTGTAACTGCTTATAAAGTGTTAGCTGGTGTCTTGCTTCAATTTGTTAGTATATTTAAAACTACTAGTACATTTAATACCCGCCCCCCTCCCAGACTGAGAATGCTACAGTCCAAATATGCCACCTGTGTTCCTTCATCCAGTGTGGGGGTACTCGAATGCAGGAGGTGTGTTACTGGCCAGATCACCAGGTGGAGAATAGGGGGAAAAAAATTAAACACTAATGCAGCCACCACATCTAATGATAGGTAAGCTGCAATATATTACATTTTGGGTTTATTACCAGTTTGATGCATGAACTGTAGTGTTTTTGGCAATCAGCCACACTAATCACTGGGGTATTGTACACGCTTGTGTTACTTTAGATAGGAAACTGCTGCATATCTGTGCACTCTTTTCTTGGTTAAAACTCTCTTTAAGCCTCTATCAGTATGTCTGAGGCAAAGAATCAATTTCAAGATATCAGTACATGTGCAGGCACCAGACCAGAATCTCTCACCCATTATGCTCTGTTCAGCATTACCAACTGTTAGGTATGAAAATCTGGGACTGTCATTACAAACTGAAGATTTGAAGCACATCCATTTTGAAGATTGTGTTTTTATGTACTGTAGGTCGCGAGATTCAATTGAATGGGCTGCAGTGCTCTTGAAAGGTTAAAAGGTCCCTGCATCATTTTGTGAAGTTGCAGTCCACATGGGAATTGCATATGTAGTACAGCTACATGCAGGAAGTGGCTGCTGCAATTGCCTGTGCGTAAGAGTCCCAATTAGAATTAATGGCACCCACATGCATCTCCTGTATTTTTCTGTGCAGGTGGTAGCAGCTGAAGGAACAGGTGTGGATCCCCAGCATGAAACAAGCCTGAATGTAACCCCCACCTAGTCAGTCAATTCTCTGGGGCAATACCAATAAGTGGTCATTAGCACCACTACTATATGACAGGATTTTTGAAAACGCCCCATAACTAAACTGCCTATAGAAGATGGCCATCAATGGATCAAAAAGGTAAGCATGCATAGTCCACGGGACAAATTAGCAAACAAGGCAATGTCCAGCCAACACATGCTGATCCTGGACCTAAAAGTACTAAAGCCAGACAACTAGCATTTTCAAAAGACAGTGAGAAATGTCAGCCCCAATATTTTTCCTAAGACACAATGGGTAAGTTAAGATCTACCTCAAACCCGTCCAACTTAAATTAATGATAAAACTGATTCATAGCAGAATAGAACCAATAGGAAGTGTCCAGGTCATGCAGGCAGGAACTAGGACATGCGAATGAGGATTCTGCCAGAACCAGTACATACAACCTGCACTTAATACCAACCCAACATCTATATGCAGCCTGACAAAAGCTTTTTTTTTTTTCCCCACCTGGATAGGTAGCGACCAGTAAATCAAAAACTAGCACTATGAAAAACTCATTACTGTGCAATACTGAAGAAAATACACACTAGTAGAAGAATGAAAATACGTAAAACATAAAATTATCTCATTCCAACAAAATATACAGCATGTGCCCAGTGAAATAACACAAACGTGCACAAAATCCA